AGACCCAGACTGAAAGGAAACAGGGTGATGTCTTTTACTCTTCCAGTGGTGGCCCAGGAGCTTCCACCCTTTCTCCAAGTAGAATATTACGACATAGTTGCTACTTATCTCCAGCAGTTTGTCTTTAGCTACAGTCTTCCACTCTGCCTGGGAGAAACAAGTAAATAAAGCCCATATTTCAAGCTTGATTTACTCTGATACCTACTGTGAAAGATTATGACTCTTTAGGGAAATAAAGACAGGGTCAGGGAATTAGTGTACATAATGGTCATTTTGATAATGGGCCAACAGATGCAACTGGAAACATACTGTACACAATTAAGCATAATGCACTAATGACAGGTTAGAGTTTTTATCGCCTCTTTGCGATCGAGCAGCAAATCCAAGTTTAGCAGTAATAAAGAGTTTATTGGTGCTAAAGCCAAAGATTTTCTGACAGAGGAAAGATTTTTCCTTTCATAACAAGAGTATTAAATCCTTTGTTTACTAGGCTCTAGAAAAGAGATATGCAAAGTGGTTGTCAGATATTTCTTAGGAAAAAGCCAATTAAAGGGTAATAGAGTAAAGGATGAGAATTACCATTTGACTTCAAACGTCTCCTCTTCTCCTGCTCTCTCCTGCCTCCACCCCGTAACAGCGTTGTGCCCCTGCAGACAGCTTCTCTTCCAAAGAACTGCAGAATCGCAGATAATGATCCAAATCCGCGCTTTTTTACTCATGAAAGTAGAGCAGGCTTGTCGTAGCTTAACAATTCTGTATTTTGTAGTATAGCAAGATCTCATCTGTAGGCTTAATTGAACGCATTAACCGCATACCTGAAATACAGACGAAAATGAAACAGAATTACTGGAGGAAAGCAAAATGGTGCCGGTACGGCTGATGCAGTTTTCTGTCCTCTGTCGGGTTTGAACCGGACATTGGGATGATCTGATTTGATAAAGGGGTGGAGGCTGCTGGTCACTGCAGGTTTCAGCTGACTTCCTTGCCAGGGCTCTCACCTATCGCCAGTGCAGATTTTGGTTCAGGGTGGTGTTGCCAGGGCACTCACGCTCAGTATGTGCAATCGAAA